GAGAAGGGCAGCACCTGAGATGTCTTCGCTTCTGCGGCAGGGCATCGTTCGGTCTTTGGGAAAAACAAAACAAAAAACAACCCCAGTTGCATTTCTTTCTTGCTGGGGGTTTAGATTTAAGCGCCTTCCGGATGCCTCCACATTCCCTGCAGCTCATGAGATCTGTTTAGTCTCTTTGTGCCAAGCAGATAGAGGTTGGTCCTGCAGTTTTCCCTCTTCCCCTCTTCCCCCAATCAGGAATGCAACGCAGCCAAGAAAACGCAGTCTTTCCACCAGCATGCTAGTTTGAGTCCGCTGAATGCCCTTGGCTGCTAAGTAGCCTGGAGTGGTATCCTGCGAGTCCTTGGCCGGGCTGGTAGGTGTAAGGATCAGCCCAGGACTGTTTCCTGGTATGCAGTGAGGTGGTTGAGGAGGGATGTGTAAATCCGAGGAGGGTATCTTTTTTGCAAGAGAATCTGGGAACTTGAAGTGAGGGGGGGGCAGGAAATGGAAAGCACCTCTCTTTGCAAGACAGAGGCTGCCAAACCTTCTAATGTTGCTTATTGGAGTATTAGAAACCACGGTTGAGCCCGACATCCTGAGTGCCAACTTTCATTACATCCACTGTATGTCACGGAGATGTCAGTATGGTGGGAGGGTTGAGTTGAGGGGCCACCAGGGCAAAGCCCTGGTGCCAAAACTGTCTCCTGGGCCAGCTTCAGTCTGATAAAGATCGGGAGCTCCTATGCAATGGGGGACCTTCTCTTCCCAATCTGGTTTCCAGCCAATATGTTGGAGTTACGGTTACGTCTCCCAGACTTCCTTAAAAAAAAGAAAAACAGCCTGTTACATTTTGGGGAGGGAGGCAGCTCTAACCATTACACTTACCTTTCTTGTTGGAGCTCCAATTACAGTGGGAATTTATTTTGGGCAGTACTCTTGCCCAAACCTGCTTGCCCTAGTTTTCTTCCAAGCTCAATCATATAATTCAGAAGTTTTTGATACCGCCTTTACAAAGCAGTACGCAAAGAGTTTGTTTTTATGTAGCTTTCATGTGAAATGCTCTTGGCATGAAAATGTTAAAATATATAGCATAGAGCTACTAGTTTCTGTAGATAACTCCTGGGTGTTCCTCTTTCCCCGTTGTTCTGAGGATTTTGGAAGCTATTCTGCCTCTCCTGGGTTGGGAAATAGTGAAAACTACTGGGATCCTGGACTCTAAGCTTACATTTCTGTACTGGTTGACTGAACTAATTCATTCTTCTCTTGAGATTCTTTTTTTCTTTGAGTTCCAGCACTGAGACACAGCAAAAGAACTAATTATTACTGAATCATAGAGTAATCAAAATGCCAAAACCAGTGAATGTGTTGCAAGGAAAGTAGATTCTTTAAGCTTTGCTTTTTAAAATATGGTTAAGCCGTTTTTTTACTATGGCCAAGATGATTTAATTGCATCTTAGCTGTCCTGAAAACAGATGCATTTTAATACTCTGGAGTGAAATCTGGGGGTGGGATGGCTGATTGGGGTGAGTGGGGAGAGAGGTAGCTCAGGTGGATGACTTTTGATTAGCATGTGGCACATTTGTTCCCCGAAATCTGCAGAGCGGTTTTCTTGTGTGTTTTAAAATGTTTATGAATTTTGCAGGGAAAGATGAAGGTCGAACATACATACATATCTGCATCTTTGAAATATAAGATTTTTAAAAATTCTGTTTGAAACTATGAAGGGGTGAGGCTGAATGCTAATCCATGTTGCATATGTTTAAAGTGCTCAAAGCTAAATTGGAAAGCTGGGTTCTTCCTCCAGGGACAAAATTCATGGTGACTGTATTTGTCTTCATCCTTTTATATTCTTCAGGGAATTATTCAACAATTTAAAATAGGAAATGAATACGATGATCTAACTTTTCCTCCTTCAGACTACTCTGAAGTAGATTTCTTCAGCAATCCTGTAATTGGAAAGAGAATTGTTTGAGTTAGCTGGCTAAAACCCCCCTGCTTTTTCCAATTATAGCCATTGTGGTTCAAACAAATCTGGCAAAGACCAGGTTGGAGAGGATTGAGCTATAGGATAAAGATTCTCCTATAATAATCTCTTTAATCTTGTTTCCTATTATAGAAATAAACTCTTTCCCATGTAAGTGGTTTGGGTTTTTGTTTTTTTTTCAGTGAAGGAGTAAAAAATAGTTCTGGATCTTTGAATTTCTCAAACTCTGATGTGACTTTTTCAAAGAAGGTTGAACAGTATATTTATCTGACTTTCTATTGGCAAGATAAACTTTCTATATTCTCCTTCTTGTATTTTCATGGCCCAAATTGGGGTCTCTTTGTGAGAATTGTGGATTTTATTTGAATTTTGTTTTGTATTGCTAGTTTGGTTATATTTCTGCCCATTCTTCTTCTAAGGAGTACAAAATGGATTACTGGTTATCTTCTGTTCCAGCTTCTTTTTATTTTATCCTTCCAACAACTCTGTGGAGTAGGCAAGTTAGAGAAGCAATGGCTGTGTCAATATCAACCAGTGAGCCTCAGAGCTGTGTGGATTTCCCTCTGATTTAAACCTCACCCATTACCTGTTGGGCTACATTTGGCAGGTTACTTTGTTTCTCAGCCTTGGCAACTTCAAGATGTGTGGACTTCAACTCCCAGAATTCCCCAGCTGATGGGGAAGCTGGCTGGGGAATTCTGGAGTTGAAGTCCACACAACTTAAAGTTGCCAAGGTTGAAAAACACTGCTCTAAGGGATAAAGAACTTCAGGTACCTTCAAAATTATCTTGGCCGCTTCCTTAGAAAGCTCATTAACAAAACAATTAAATGAAACCACAGGCTAGATGAATGCCATCTCTTCCAGTAGAACTTAGAGGCACAGTACCCTTGAATGTACACAAAGAGTGGCCACCTTATTTGGCTACTCATCAATAAGGGAAGAAGTGCAAAGTTTTGCCATTAGTAGGTTTGTCATTTAGAGTGGGAATATGGTATGTGGAATTCTCCAACCAATTCCAGGCTTGTGTTCCTGCATTTAATTTGCAGGGTTCGTTTTATGTAATCCTCCAGCATCAGCTTCTGCCCTGGTACTGCAAAGCCACAGATATCCTTCAATATAGTGGTTTCTGGCTTTCTTTCTAACATCATGGCAATCTTCATAGCCATCTTACAGTGCTAGTTCCCTCTTCTTAAATCTGAAAACATCCATGTGTCTAGCTGCTTGGAACCTTAGAATCACCTGAGAATTAAAAACTGTACCAAATTCTGCATAAAATGTTGAGCCTCAGAAGGCTGGACTTGGGAATGTATGTCAAATTGCAGGTCAAGTGTAAAAATTAGGTGATTTTGGACACCCCTGCCCTACATGAGTGAAAAAATCAACCCAAATCTGGAGATGTGTGCTGAATCCAGAAATCTCACCTGGTGGTGTTAAGCAAGGCCTGTGTTGGTCGTGTCTACTCTAGCACATCATGAAGCTAAGAGAAGGTGCATAATTCTTGGGTTCACACCTTGCTCTTTTTGCTGGTACAAAACTGCTTAGGGCCTGTCTGCCGAAGGAACTGATCTGCAGCAGGTCATATGAAAATGTCCCCACTGTCAGAGGCCTGTCTTGGTGGTGTGAAGGGGGTGTGGTGTGTGAAGGGGGCCTTTTCCTGTATCGCTCTTAGGCTGTGGATATACTCCTTTGGGAGTTGTGTTTGGCCCCTACATTCTCAAGATTTAGCCCATTGATAAAGATGCATTTTTTTCAGTAAGGCTTTTAATTGTGAGATGCTTTTAGTATTTATTTTACTGTGACTCATGATCCGTCTCTAACAGTTTATACTGTTTTCATTTTTAAGTTCTGTTAGCCACTGTAAGAGCTCACTAGGGCATAAATCAAATAAATAAATACTTGCAGGATTTCAAGTGGTGGGACTGTAGAAGAGCTCCCTTCTCTAATCAGAGTACACAGAGTACATCAGAGACTAAAGGTTGCTAGGCTTGGTGTGCTGCATCATCTTACCGACACTGACAGGACATGTGGATTGTAAACCATAGCTGTAATGATGGTTTGCTGAACAAGCCATAGTGGCCTGGTTCCCATGCCATGTGAACCAGTAAACCACAGTTTATAAACACAATGGCTGGATTGTGATCAGGCTAAGCCAAAACCAACTTAAACGTATTATGGATTAAACTAATCAGATGCTGTGGGAGGGTGCTTGCTCCTCCTGTGCTGAAATAGCTTGCGTCGGCTACAAATGAGCTTTGTAGAAGCATTGCTGGATTTGACACAGGTCTATCTTCTCTGGATTCTGCCTCTTATCTGTGTCCAGACAAGATGACCTGGGGAAGTTTGCAAACTGAACATAATGGAGGATGTTGTTTCTGAACTTCAGTATAGTGAAAATCTATCCCTGGATGTAGAAGGTCTTAATTTTGATTATTTCTGGTTGTTTTCTGGAACTAGGACTACCCTCTGTTAACAAGTCCTTTTTTAAAAACCAGCCCATCCTTTTAAAAACCCAGCATCACCTGGGATGATGCAGTAGTGAGTGCTGTGATTTGGTTGTTACTCTCCAGATAGTGGCTGGTTTGGAAGCAGAGGAATCAAGACCTAAATCTGTAAATCCAAGCTCCTTCAAGATGAAGCAGCAGATTGGCCCCCAACCGCATAAAATGTTTCTCAGTTCTCTGTTCACTCCAGCAACCATCACAAGGGTGGAATGAGACTTACTATTGCATGGGGAAATCCTTGGAGGAAAAGGATTGTGGGGGTGGTAACTCTGTGTTTAAAAATAGCTCTCATTTGCAGCTCTCTGCTGGTCGCTTACATTCCTTGAATGCTGATGTGTCTCTTTAAGGCAGTGTTTCTCAACCTTAGCAACTTTAAGATGTGTGGACTTCAACTTCCAGCATGCTGGCTGGAGAATTCTGGGAATTGAAGTCCATGTGTCTTAAAGTTGCCAAGGTTGAGAAACACTGCTTTAAGGCAACAATCCTTTGATGAGGGATGCTTAGCCTTGAACTCCCTTTGCTTCTCTTTCAGGCAAAAGTGATGACAGGAGTCCTGGAGGTTGGACTTGTCATAGTGTCCACCACTGGGGCCTTGAAGAAAGGTAAGAGAAAGGCTGAGAAAGAGCTGGGCCAAGACATTACCTGGGTTCATACATCACCCTGAGATTGGAGGCGGGCAATCCACTCCCTGGACACCACCTGCAAACTATCCAAATGTAGCAGGATCAACATGATTGAATTTTATGGACACGGTTTTGTAGCATTTTATTCAAAAACCAAAGGAGGGAATGGAAGCCAAAGACCTCTGAAAACGTCCATTTCCACCCTTCATTCCTCTGCCCCCAAACAGCTGTCTTTGGGCCTGATTTCAGCCTGTTTTTTTGGTGGCCTGGGGGTTAAGGATAGAGATGGGAGCAACTTGCTTCCAGAGACCTCCCACTTCCATTCCCACCCTTAAAACTCTGAATAAAGTAAAGGAAGAATAAAAAATCAGCTCCATGCCTTCCAGTGCATCACCATAGCCCTGGGTTAACCATTAAGCAAAAAGGCACATTCTTAGGCCCCAAGGGAAGGGGGGCACCACAGTTTTCCCCCCTAGCTATCATGCCACACTCAATTTTAGTTTTCAGCACCTATTGAGTCTTAATGTCTTGTCAGTTAAGCAATGGAAGGGCCAAGGGGCACCATTGTTGGGCTGTGCTTAGGGCTTCAGTTGGCCTTAATCCAGCCCTACATCACTATGACACTGGATGGTCTTCTATGCTCCTTTGGATTTTCAGGAGGCTGAATTGTGGCCCTAGCACATGCCCTAAGCCATGGATCATTGAACTATGGTTTGTTGAATAAGTCATAGTTGGCTGGGGTCATAGATACCATACCATAACAACTTACAAATCACAGTGGCTGGATTTCTACAACATGCTTGGCTAAAATCAAAGAAATCAACCTGAGGCTCAACGTGATATATGAAGCTACCCATTGTGCTGTCTTAGACAGAACATCCAAAAAAGAATTTCTTCCAGGAGAGCTTCTCCTTGCAGTTATTTCAAAAGTGACCTATTAAAAAGAGAAGTGAAATAGGATACTTCCTTAGAAATGTTTTTACCGTGTCCTCCTATGCATTTTCACCCCTTTTTAAAACTAGAATTGTAGTCCAGCCTACTTGAAAGGCCCTGTTTTTTATGGAAGCTGCTTTAAATAAAATGTTGAAAGTAAAGATTTGGTGAAATAGGGAAATGTGGTCCTTTAAACTGCCTGGTTGTTCCATTGCCTGGACCACTGGAAATTAAAAAAAAAAAAAAAGAAAGAAAGCAAATTCTTCAGAAGACCAGTCAGGTAACACTGTGGCAAGTGAAAATAAATATACTAAGATTTGACTTGCCTACCACTTGCATGGTAGGACCTCTGATATCTACCAGCCATGTGATTGGCAGATGTTACACAGAAGCAGATTTTCCCAGCTTGAAAATGCGGCAGTGAGGAACCCTGCGCTTCTTAAACGGAAGCCTCGACCAGCAGCCCATTGTAACTGTGCCATCATTCCTGACCGCCCTCTCTGTTGGAGAAATCCCAGCGGCATCGTTGCAGGCATCTGGTGAATGACCTTGCTGTGCCCCCCTTGAAATTGCTGGTGGGTCTTTTATTGTGGCAGGAGCATGAAAGTTGGCACTCTTTTACTTGATTCTCTTTGCCCAAAGGAAACAATGTCTGAAATTGAGCTGCAGAGTGAGATGAAGCCGGACAGGGATGGCCATGAGCCAAGCACACCCCAGGAGCTTCTGCAGAGACTCCGGGAGCTAGAGGTACAAGGCCTGATCTTGTCTAGCTTGTTTAAGGGGTTCAAGAAACCAGAGCACCAGCTGAAGGACTGATAGAAGATGTGAATTGAGGTCCCATTACAAGCAATTTGTTTCTTGATACCCATGCAGCATCTATTTCACTTGAATGTGAGCTGCCTCCCAGCATTTGGGACATTTAGGACTACAGAAATAACATGAATGATATATCAGCCCACTGGGGGAGCATGGGTTTCTAGGTGAGTGGTTCAAACTAGCTGTTTTGATCCCTTGCTGCTACGTAGCAGAATCGTCTACTCCCGAGTCTCCAGTATTGGCACAATGAAGCTCTGTCTCCAGCACACACATCAAATATATAGGCCCAGGTGAATCCACTATGTGAGTCAAGTCTTGTGGATTCCTTTTCTACCTCTTCCTAATATGAGGTATGGGCACTTTGCACAAACGTCTTGTATTCTGGGCTTTTGAGTGGGTACGTGATACGCATGTACAAGGGATGGGACAACAGTCTAGTTGACCTGCTGCTCTGGCTTTTGAAGGGAGGTGCCAACCATTGAGCCTGGTGACCTTAGTCCCTCAGTCTTCTCCCTGGGGCACAAGTGGAAAACATAGCTTTGCAAGGCTGTAGAATAGGAATTTCCACAAAGGACAAGAGAAATGGGGTGGAGCAGAGACAAGAAGGAAAGTTTTCCTGGCTTTGTTTCTTTTCCCATGTGCCTCCTGGAGAGGAAACTTGAGGTCCTCTATGCTCACCAGCAGCCTGACTCTTCTCTGTGTCCTCAGGCAGAGAATTTGGCTTTGGTGCAAGCCAATGAGAACCAGCGGGAAACTTATGAACGCTGCCTGGATGAGGTACTGCTTTGCCTTCTCTTTCCCCGACTGCACCTTCTGATGGAGGCATAACCTCTCCCCTTGTGCTTATTCCTGCTCATTCTTCTTCCACAGGTGGCCAATCACGTGGTACAAGCACTGTTAAACCAAAAAGTGAGTCTATTTCCAGGCCTGGCCTTTGGGGGCTGAGGGGCATCTTTGGAATTCTGAGAGCTGTTAAAGTGGAGTGTGGCCAGCACAAAACTCTGCAGAAAACAGACCGGTGAAGTTACTCCTTACAGTCCTTTGTAGCCCTCCAGAGGCTTTCTCCCACTCTGTTTTTCGTAGGCCCGCTCCCAAACAAATCACCAGGCTACAGCCCCCACCTCCCATTTTTACTTCCTACAAATGCCTCTCTGGATCTCAGTGGCATTCTTGGAGTTAAAGATGGTGCCAGCGATTCCTGTTTTGCTTTAAAGCATGTAGGCTTCCTGAAACATTTAAGTCAGCCAGCAAGCAAGGGAATGGTCTGTGGGCCCCTTGGTGCCTTCTCTTGCTGTGATCTGTGCTGGGTTTCACTAGGAGGAGGAGGAAGAAAAGGAGCTCTTGTCTGGCAGTTGCCTGCTCTTTATTTGTTTATTTTTTTGTACAAATCAGTGATGACTTCAGAGTAATGGAATTAGCTGTGATCCTCCTGCTTGAGAGGAAGGCACATTGGACTGTGGAGGATGTAACTGCTGAGTAAGAAAGGTTAGGCTCATTACTGCTCAAGGGAGAGATATTGATACAGCAATTAACCTCTTGATACTGCCCTGAAAGAAAGGCGTGAGAGCTGTTAGAAACAACTGCCTGTTGCTAGAGGTGTGAATTCTTCCACCAATCTCTTTCCTGTGTTAATAATAATAATAATATACGTATTGCCCTTTAGAGTAGTCCAAATGCTCCTGGTAATCCTTACAACCTTCTTAGATAGAACAATGCTGTCCCTGTTGGTCCCCTCTTAAGCTGGTAGTAGAGATGAGATCTGAATGAAGACTTCATAACTCACTCAGGGTCAAAAGTGAAGTATTTCTTGCATCCTTCCCTCCAAGGTTGAGGTAAAGACCTGAGCCCCTTGGCCTGTTGTCTTCCCCAGGAATCTTGCATGCGTCCCCCACAGACTTCCAGAACTGGTTTTAAAAATGTAATTGTTAAAGTGACCAAAGAAAGAAAGAAAAAGAAAATAAGTGTTTTAGTGGAGCATAAGTGTCCTATAAAGTTAATTCAATTTTAATAATGAAAAGTCACATTTAGGTTTGGGGCTCTCAGTTTTTGGCGTGGGGATGTCTGCTCCTTGCTCAGAAGAAGTTCGACTAACAAGTCAGGCCATTGGTCTCTGTAATCTGTAAAATGTGTGTAAACCTTGAGCTGATAGAAGTTGTATACCCCTGATCTAGATGAAGGGGAGGCAGATAGTAGATCTTAATTGCTTGGTATCAGTCCTGCAAACATTAATTATGCTTGCCCCTGATCTAGCTCATCATCCAGAGCTGCTCTTCAGTCTCTGTGGGAGCTTTCACGTGGCATCTTTTGTATGCCAAGCCTGAGCCCTGCTCTACACCATGTTCCCAGGCGTCAGCAGAGAGGGCTTCAGTACTGTATCCCTCCTCCTCCTCTACAGTTTTTGCCATGAGTAGCAGTGGTGGTTAAATATGATCAAACATCTGTGCACGTCCTTAACTTGCATTATTTGTGCAAGTCACAGGATTCAGAGCTCTTTGGGATAGGGTTTGGGTGCTCTGATGCCGAATGCTGATTTCTCCTTAGTCTGCTTCGACCACAAAAGACCAAGCTTGAGGATTCCTGTGGGGAGGAGAGGAAACCAGATGAGAGAATATGCAGGTACCCTCTTGACCCTAGCTTACAGGCTGCCTCCTCTCTTTCTCAGGATCTTCGTGAAGAATGCATAAAGCTGAAAAAACGGGTCTTTGACTTGGAACGGCAAAACCAGGCTCTCAGTGATCTTTTCCATCGAAAGCTGACTTCTGGATCTCTCTCCCAGGTAGTTTCCCATGTACTCTGTCCTTTATCTTCCCTCTTCCACATCGTGTGCTCTGCTTACATATACAGACGTGCTTTACTTGCGTGGTAGGTGGGTTTTAGGTGATTGCATATAGAGAGAATCTTGGAATCATACAACTGGAAAGAGGATTGTTTTATGTAGCTCAAATGGTGGGGGAAATTTTGCATTTACAGCTGAATGCCTGCAAGGGGATCATATTAGTCTATGGTAGCTTTACTTAGTACGTTAAGCCAAAATCTGGTTAGTCATAGGTTATTGAATAAATTAGTCATTTTGGGGTATACCCGATGCTAATAAACCTTGGTTAAAAGCTAGAATGGTTTATCAGTGTGGCTGCTAGGTTCACATGTGTTTCCAAGCTGTGTGGAATTGCTGGATGTAAGTTGCGTGCATGCGTGTGAAGGCACTGTGGTTCAGGGTGTTTGCGCCCTGCAAGCAGGTCATTCATTCTCTTAATTGTCTCTCCAGCCTCCAGCCCATCCAGCTTCCTTGCTGTCCAGTCCATCCCCAATCTCCCAGCCAGGCCCGGTAGAGAAGCTCCCGGTGCCATTTCCCCTGGGACGGTGCCTCTTGCAGAGAGAGGTATGTTCTGTAACTCTTCTCTTGCCCCTTCGTCTTTGGATTGCCACCTGCAAGTACAGACCTGCTAGTGCTGCTGCCTCATTGTTGGGCCACCCAGATAGCTTTCCTGTTGCGTAATATTCTGTTAACAGCTTAAGAGAGGGAGAGTGTACGTTTTTTGGAATGGGGCCCAGCGCCATTCATTGATGCAATGCTGCACAGCATAGACCTTTGACGCAGTAGACGTCTTCATGTGCTGAACTTCAGGACTTTTACTCCAACCATGAGGTTTTGGGACTGGGGCAGATTTTTTTTCTTTCCCAAGAAAGGAAAAAGGAAGATCAGAGTTACAAAAGGAGAACTGGTGCATTGCACGTGGGAAGGTGAGGTGGGATTCCTCCCTCCAAACTGGTTCCAAAAGTTAGGGACAGGCAGATTTGTTTGTTTATTTGATTCACATTTCTAAGGGTTCTATTCACCTAACTTGATAATTCTGGGCAGCATATAGAATTAAAAACAAAGCTCTAAAATAACAAGCACACATAGGAAAAAAAAGATGGTCATCCCAGTAGAAGAAAACATCCACTAACCTCCCTAATTCATGTAGGGAGACTGCAGAGAGGTGTCCTTCTGGACTCCGGGCTCCTGCTTGAAGACAAGTGGCAGCCCTGGCTAGGAGGGTCTTTGTACACTTTTGGGTTGTGTGCCAGTTGTGCCCATTTCTGGACCAGGAGGCCCTGCTCACTGTCACTCATACCCTCCCGTCTGGATTACTGCAGTGTGCTCTACATGGCGCTGCCCTTGAAGAGCGTTTGGCAGCTTCAACTCTGCAGAATGTGGCAGCATGGGTAGTCAGTGGTGCCAGTTACTCGGTGCATGTCCTACTTTGTGAGCTGTATGGACTGCCAGTGTGCTTCTGGGTGCAAGTCAAGGTGCTGGTTGTCACCCTTAAAGCCCTTCATGGCTTGGGACTGGCTTACCTGAGGAACCATCTTTCCCCAGTGGTTTCTACCCTTCTGATCCAGTCCAAAAGGATGGGTATGCTCTGATTCCTTTTCTGCTGTAGAGCCCGCCCTATAGAATATTCTCCCTCCAGAGATTAGGATGGCTCAGACCCTGCTGGGCCTTTTATAAGGTACTAAAGACCTGGTTCTGGGCCTGGGCCCATCTCAAGGTTGTGTTAGCGACTGTCGATTTGATACCTTCCTTGACTGCTATGTATTTTAATATTTGTATTATTGGCTGTAATTGTTTTTAATTTTATTTTAAATTTTGTTTGCCACCCAGACTCGCTTGTTGAGATTGGCGGCCATACAAATTGATAAAATAAATAAATAAAACTTGGTTTTTAGGTAAACTATGCTATATGTGAAGGAAGGTGCAGGATTGTGAGGAGGCAAGTACCCCAAAATCACTGGACTGGCAAAAGTCAAAATCTTCTAGCCCAGCCCTCAGTAATGTTTCTCTTTGGGAGCATCCATTCAGTCCATACTTTGACAAAACCTAGCCACCATGGTATGAATTGAATGCAGACTTTACATGGAGAGAAGGAAGCAGAATTCCTGCTTTCCATGCATATTTCAGCTTCAATTCGTTGTGTTGCCACTTTAAAGTAACATTGAGCAGAAAGTGATGGAAAAGATCTTCCTCTACTACCTCTGTGGACCTTTTGTCCATTGTAGGAGACTACACTGGACTGGAAGTGTATGGTAAATCATTTGACCTGGTGTAAGGCACCTTGGAAGTCTGGGGACACAGAAACAACAAGCGGGATGTTGTGGTCAGGAGAGCAGAAATGGAAATCAGAAGCTGTGCTGTTATATTTTGTACCTCTCCTTGGTTGCATCCCAGATCATCTCTGAGGAACATTGTCTGGGCATTCCTGGATCTAATCCCCAGTCTCTGGAGGCTCTATCCCCTTTCCTGCGAAAGAAGGCCCAGATCCTGGAAGTGCTTCGTTCCCTGGAAGAGATGGACCCACTGCTTGCCTTTCCCTCGCCTTGGAGAGACCCAGGGCAGCTGAGCTCTCCAGAAGGCGTGACTGCAGAAGCCTGGCCATGTCTACTGCTGGCACAGGGTGAAGGGGTGCCTGGACAGCCTCCGCTGAAAAGTGAGGGCAGCTCCTCCTCCTCCTCAGATGAGGCTGGGGAATCCGATCCCCCAGAGAAAGGGCGCCCAGGGCAAGGGTTGCTGAGCGCGCTGGCCGAACACAAGCTGGAGTTGGGAGAGGTGGAGACGTACCTGCAGCACGTCCTTCGGGGAGCCGGTGACAGTGCCCTGCTCAACGGGGAGCCCAGCGGGCCCTGCTCGATGGGAGACCCTGAAGGCCAGAGCAGGAGCTACAAGCGCATCCAGGCTGTGAGTTGTCTAGAGGCCTTGGGGCCTCCCTCCTCCTGCAGGGAGCCAGCCTACCTGAGCGTCTTTGCATCAAGCGAAGACAGAGATAAGTCTCAGCAAGGGCTCCCTATCCCCTCTCCCTCCAAGGTGCTCAAGTTGCTGAAAATGCCACCGCCCCCCAGCCCTGCTGCCCTCCGCCTCAGCCCGCAGCTCACCCGCAGCTCCAAAATCCCCTGCCGCAGTAACACGTACGAGGTGTACCACTCCCCGACGCCCAGCCGCAAGGGATCCCCCGACAGCCCGGTCCCTGCTGGTTCCGGCAGTGGCGGCGGACAGCCCTCCCCCAAGTCCAGCCGACCCCTTGTCCCAGAGTCCTCCCCAGATCCTTTTGGGTTCCACACGCCCCATGAGTATGAGAACATTTTAGAGTTGACCCTCCACACTGCCGTGAGCTCTCGCTCCCCCTCGTCCCGTGATGCCAGGCTGGACGCGTCAGAGGCACTCCTGCCTTCCTGCCGCTCGGCTCCTCTCCGGGCAATGCCGCCTGGTGACATCTCCCTGGAGCCCTGCCCTGCCGGCAGCCGAGAGAAGCCAGGCCCGGAGAGCAGGCGCTCTCCTCCTCTGGCCCGCAGGAACCCCGACAGCTCCAAGAGAGGCACCAGCGGCTCTGCCAAGCGGACGCTTGAGGCGGCAGCCAGCATGCCCTTCAAAGAGCGGCTGACAGTGCTGGGGCGGCTGAAGGGGGTGGAAGGGAAGGAGGGGTCGGGCTTTGAGAAGGGGAGGGCCCCCACCCGCTCAGGGGAACGTGGGGAAAGCCTTCCCGATGCCCACCCCAGGCTGGGCTCTGGGAGCAGCAGCCTCAAGCACCCAGAGCCCTGCCACGGGAGTGAATCAGCCCCTCGGTGCTACTCCTCCCACTCCGTTGGCTTCCGCGGGAACGACTCTGAGCAGCAGGGCTCCAAGAACCGCTCCCTGGGAACACCAGCCAACAGAAATCCCCCCAAACCCCCGCCACCTGGGAAAAATGCCAAGAGTCCCCACGGGAGCCCAACTAAGTTACCTTCCAAATCCCCAACCAAGCCTCCTGCCCCAGAGCCCAAGCCGTGCCCGCCCTCAGCCAAGGCACCCACTAGCGTTGGGCGTAAGAACCCCTCTGGCCTGGACCAGGCCAAGGGAAAAGCTGGGCCTCCTGCCAGCATTGAAGAAAAGGTGATGAAAGGCATCGAAGAGAACGTCCTACGAAGGCACAAAGGTGGGCCGGCCACAGGGGAGGCCAAGCAGAAGAATTCGAGTGGTCTTGCCAGTTGGTTTGGCCTGCGTAAGAGCAAGCTGCCTGCCCTCAGCCGGAGGCCGGAGACTCCCAAAGCCAAGGAAAGCAAAGCGGTCTCGCGCAGGCTGGAGGCTGAGAGCCTGAACATTTCCAAGTTGATGGAGAAGGCGGAGGACCTGCGCAAAGCCCTGGAGGAGGAGAAGGCCTACATCAATGGGCTGGCCCTGGACAAGCCTCGGTCGCACCCCTGTGACACTGGACACAGCCAGCTCACCCTCATGTACCAGGAGGTGACTGCAGAGAACTTCATGCAGCAACTGCTCAATAGGTAGGTCAGAGCAGCGGAAGCAGGTCAGAGCGGTATCTGCCTGGAAGGGCTCAAAGGCAAAGTCGGTGAAGGCTGATCTCACCCCAGGAGGTACCACACTTAAGCTAGGATCAGCATTTTGGTTCCGCACCAACTCCAGGGTCTAGATTTGCATAAAACTGAAGATTTCTGGCTGAGATCAAGAGTAGAGCCAGCGAGGTGGTAAGACATAACAAATAGCTGTACAGGTTGGTTGAGACCTTTTTTAGGGGGAGCTCCCCCCCCATTTTTTTAATCTTTAAGATTTCACCAGGTGCTGCCCATTTGTTTCCAAGCTTTTTTTACGTTCTGAAGGAGAGAAAATGTATTCCCTCCCCCTTTTGTTTGTTTTTAAATGAAATGTATTATCCTCAAGATTGCTCACAGGATCCCAGATTCTGGATATCTGTGGAAAGCTATGGTATGCCCAGAGTTAGCATCAAGGAGCCTGAACACGAGGATTCTAGCTTTGGCTCTGAGGGACGAGAGCTGGATGAGGGATTGCATCTTGAGCTTTGCAGCCCAAGTACTGAAAGTAGGCAACTGGGTGCCCTCCAGATGTTTTGGAGTTTTAGTTCTCACCAATCCAAGCCAGCAAGGGCAGTGGCCAGGGCTTGTGGAGGTTGTAGTTGAAGACATCTGAAGGACACCCATTGGCCTACCCCTGGAATGGTAGTTAGAGAGGATCCCAATTCTTTTCCTTTGGGGAGGCTAGTAGTGCTAACCTGCAGGTCTTGCAAAATGGGCAGGGGGAGAGAGAGGGGCTTCAGGGTTCTGACCTCCACTGCATTGCAGAGTGGATGGGAAAGAGGCACCGTGTGAGACTCATCTGGAGCAGAAGAATGAGCTACAGGGCCTGCAGAGAGGCCTACGTGATGCCAAAGATCCCCGCCTTATCCGGCCGCCACGCAATGGCATAGTTGGGCACCTCCATGCCTGTCCGGAGGCTCCAGACAAGGTGAGCTCTCTGTGAGGGGGAGCAGTCTGAAGCCCCTCATCCATGTCCTCAGCTGCCAGAGGACTCACCTTTTGTCTCCCTTGTCTCCCTGTAGCTTCATGAAGCTGCCTTGCGGGAAGAGCTGCCATCTGATGACAGCTTGGCTGAATTGGTGACCTCCCAGCACTTTGCCGGTGAGCCCCAAGGAAAGCTGAGGGGACAGGCTGGGGGTTGATGAAGGAGCTGCTGTTTTAACTTAGTCAGAAGCCAGCATAGGTCGGTCTCCTCGTCAGCTGGAAGCCAGTACTGTTGAAATAAGCAACTTCATTGATTTGTCCACATATTTTTTAAATGCAGTAAAAAAAAAATCAGGTTTATTTCCTCCACAAGGAGAATGAAGTCCTATCAACGATATTCCCATGATTCCACACAAGCTTCCATGAATTGTACTCCAGGTTTACACAGGAAATTACTACCACAGAGAATTGCTTCCTAGAGAGGAAATGCATATCCTATCTGTAGGCGATCTGGTGGCTCTGTTCCAGTAACTTTCTCGTGAGATTATAAAAATGGGGATGGGAATTCTTTTACTATGTAATGTAGCCTCCACAACTTCATATCCTTTGAATTGAATTACAATTCCCATAATTCTCCATCAATCTGGTCAGTACCAATCATAGCTGAGAATTACGGGAGTCAAAATTTATAACTTCTGGATGTTTAGAGAACGTTGGACATTGAATTTACAAAGATCATTCAATAATGCTTGCTGAGATCTCATTCTTCATAGAGCACAGATGTGGAAGAGAATCAGGTCTTTGTATAAATATGGCTGGAAGTCCCATTTCCTGGATTTTCTTCTTAGTTGGGGAAAGGGGAGGGATGAAAGTGGCTGGAGACATATTACTGCTGGACGTTGGAAAAGGCAGTGAGGACAAAATAACATGTCAGGTTGGGGGAATCAGCAACATATGCCCACAATTGTAGCATCTGCAACATACCTACATGGTGGGCTGCTGAAGTACATTTTTTTGAAAAATCAAAAATGTCCCACGTATCATGAAGCAGGCGGGAGCTCATTCATTATTTGGGACATTTTTTTACTTCTTAATTTTTAAAACTATTTTTTTTATTATGGAAAATCACATGGTGAATGCCCTCTGTCTTCAAAGGTGGATGACCACTGAATTACATCTCTATCTTCTGCTTTGCTTCTCCTCTAAGGGAGCTGGTTTGAAGACAATAAATAAGAATTCAAGGAGTTCTTCTCCAGGCAGGTGTATTTTCATGGGAACAAAGGCTATGGCTTTCTAGAGGTTAAATTCCAACTCTTATCATCTCTGACCATTGGCCATGCCGGCTAGAATTGATGAGACCTGGAATCCAACAATATTTGGAGGGTTCGTGTGTTCCCCACTCACGCATATGCTGAGCCCAAATGTATATTACTGAGTAGGTCAATGAGACGAATTTCTGGAGGAGGTGTGGACTTTGGCTTCATCTCTCCTCATAGTTTCTGGTTGCGTCCACAGTGTGTAGCTCCTTAATGCGGACTCTGGACAGTGGCATTGGCACATTCCCCCCTCCTGACTACTGCAGTGGGATGCCCTGTAAGAGTGTCCCGAAACTGAGACCTCGACTGGATCCTCCACCAGCAGGGCCTCTCCCCAGTAGAGGTCCCCCACCTGTCACCAGAGTGCCCCGCAAAGCCCGAACGCTGGAGAGGGAGGTGCCAAGCGCAGAGGACCTGATGGGGCCTAGCAAGCACCAAAGCATGCCAGCTTTCCACGGCATCTTAACCAGTGCAGAGCCGCCCCTCGGCCGTCATGATCGCGGAGGCTGCCTGCAAGGTTTGTACCAAAGAGGCAGTGTATTATCCTCCATGTTGGAGGTCTTTTCTGAAACAGTACATATGTACACACACCTTCCACAAGGAGACATTTCTTTAGCAGTGGTGGGCGAGCCCATTGCATTATACTGTTCCTCAGTACTTAAAGGGATTTTTTGGCTTAAATTCTTAGTTGGGTAGTTTTAGAGTTAAGGTTAGAAGAGCTGTAAGCTGATCATAGGGGGGCAGAGTATAGTTCTGGCCTAGAGGGGCTCATAGTTGTTGTTCTATGTGGCAGTGTCCCATGCATGGAACTTAGAAGACCAAACTACTCAATCATAGCTGGTTATGCAATAAGAAGAGTCAGGCAGATGTTGATTTTGTATATTTTAAGATATTGGGGTAGTAGGAAAAGCCAGAAGGAAGACTCTTAAGTCTTTCTGTCCTTAACTGATAGAAGAATCAGGATATTCTCCCTAATTTCTGAGTATTTGTCACCAATTTGTGCAAGTCACTTCTGCAGAAATGTACAATGTCAGTTAGAACCCTATTTACATGCAGATCCATGTATGGTACTGAAAAGTGCAAACCTAATATTTTAAAATACAATTCTTGCAACATCTGGAAGAAAGATGCAAAATGTTCACCCCTGCTCCAGACTCACATTGTTTCTGTGGTGCTGCCCCAAAGCAGGTGAGAAGTTGGCCCCATCTCACTGCTAATGACTTCCTGGTCTTCCTTACACAGATCTCTGCAGTGAAGCCAGCAATCCCCGGCGTATCCAACATGGCAAGAACTGGACTTTCCCTAATGCCAAAGCATCAACTGGCATGGACCCCTTTCTCTGCTCTCCTGACAGGCTGGAGGAGCTCCATGGTTCTGCAATGGTAGGGGTCAGGGATGGGTTTGGGGGCAGAGAGGAGGAGGCAGGAAGAGAGATGCCACACTGCAAAAGGGCCCAAGAGATTTCTGACGAGGGCTTATGAAGCTAAGAGTCCAACTGTAGTAGCTTCTGGTGTTATCCACGGGTGTATGAAGATGAGAACCAGCACAGACAGATTTGTTATGTTTAGCACCTCACAGAAACCTTTGTTTTCCTGAGGTGGTTCTAGTCATGCTAAGTAAGACATCTTTGCAAAATCATGCAGTAGGAAATGGTTATCAACAGCATCTCCTTCCTCCTTGTCCCAAAGCTATGGCTCCACTTTCAGTTTTTAGTGCAGAAGTAGGAGCAAGTTCACAACAAGGTGAGGCTCTTTAATATGCAAACAGGATACAAAATCCATAAATGAATGTTAAGTATGTTCCCTGCCTTGGATTATATATAAAAAAGGTAGGATAAAAATCTAATAATCATAATACTGAAGTATGTAAACAATTAGGCTCTTTTGGCTGCTGTGTGTTTCTGGGTTTTCCAGGAACTGAAGAGATACAGGTGGTCCTCAGTTAACAATGGTAATTGGGACCAGAATTTCTGTTGCTAAGCTGTTGTAAAGCATGATATCATGTGACCTTGCCGCATAGCAACGGCAGTTCTGGCAGTCCCCGGTTACTGTCATTAAGCAAATCACTGCAGGTCGTTAAGCAAGGACTTCATGTGATCATGACTTAGGACTTCCTGCCGGCTTCCCCATTGTCTTTGCTTGTGGGAAGCCAACAGGGAAAGTTGTAAATCGCAATCACGTGACTGTGGGAGTCTGCACCAGTCAGAAATATGGGTCGGTTGCTGAGTGCCCAGATTGCAGTCATGTGACCATGGGGGTTCTGTGCTGGAATTTGAAGACTGGTTGTAATTGCCATTCGTTCACCACCCGTCCCAAGTTCAAACGGTCGCTGAACAAGTGGTTGTTAAATGAGGACCACCTGTAAATGAAAAGAGTTGATTTTTCCCCCCTTGTGTTGAAAATACAAAATGCAGTTGTGGAGCTCATCTCCACCATCCTTAGGCAGACCTCACAGGGCTCTCAGTAGCTGAAAAACAGAAATAATGCAAAACCAGGCAGGATGGTTGGTCTCCCTGCTTTCTTCTGCTGAGTAGTTCTATCTTCCTCCTTTCTGCTTCTGCAGGGCTCGGCTTGCAATGTTGTTGAGAGAAGACGGGCTTCATCAGAAGGACCTCAGGCCTCCCCGGCCTTCAGCACCAGCAGCAGCCGTACCCCTAGCGCTTCTGACGTGGGTGAAGAGGGCAGCACAGAAGCCCGTTCCAGGGATATGGGTCCAGAGGGGCAGCCAGGCCTGGAGAACTCTGAGTCCCTCAGTGACTCTCTTTACGACAGCTTATCCTCCTGTGGCAGTCAGGGCTGAGCATTTTGAGGAAGGATGAGGGCATTGACTTCCTGGGTTGACACTGCCACATGCTCCTGCCTGGTGCTTTGAGGGCCCAGCACTTGCCCATAGGATCCTGCTTGATTCTTCTAAACCAAATTTGGCCTGCACCAGAACACGACGTGTCTTCCACACCAGCTCCCTGCCCATTCTTAAGCAGGGAAATGGGACTTCTTCAGCAGGGCACCAGATGACTTGCCTATTAAGAGAAGAGACAGGAAGGAAAGAAAAGGTGGGCGGGAGGGCGGGATAGGAAGTGGTTGTGGGCATCTTCATCCAGTCGAATGGCATTTGATCTACTTTGGGGTGTGGCCTTGCACATTAAGTGGTATCCCTTTGGTTAAAGCACTGCGAATGAGGAGGGATCTAATCTGTCTTGCTGACCCGTTACCCAACTTGGTGGACTCGCTGTGGAATCAAATGGAATCAAGGATTGTTGTGGGTTCCAGGGTGCACTAAGTAGAGAGTGTCCCTCTGAAGGGTAAGCGATCCCAATTCACAAATTGCACCAGCACAACGCCCTCTCGCCCTGATCTCCCTTTGGCAGGCTGGAAAGGGGCGGTGCTGATTGTTGTTATGCCCTCGCCAGTGGAAGAATTTCCCATCCTTGCACCTATCCAAGCTGCCCTCTTTACCTCATTGGCAGGGCACAGTGCTTGCCTTAGCAAATTACCGAAGCCCTTCCGCCTCTCGACACTTGGGAAGCATGTGAGATTTTGCCAAATCCAGGATTTCCCTCTATCGATCGGGAAAGTGGAGCGAGGTGGGCCTTCCATTTCTTTCATTCAAGCATGCGGTTGCTGGGGGTACCAAACTGATGTCTAGGGGGTGTGGGTGGTTGGCAAGAAGACTCCCTCTTGACAAGCATCTTAAAGTGAGTAGGTTCGCTTTCCTCTCATTGTATTTCATAAAGTGGTCCCTCCTTTTCTTCCCTTTCACCCAAATCCAGTTGAAGAAATGAGAACCTCAGAGCTATTGTGTGTCTGGGATGGATAGCTTGGTCCCTCACTCCTTGTCCTTTCTGTGTAACTTTTTTTTAATTAAAGAAACATTAAGTTATTAATGTTGCTGTTCTGGTTTCCATGCAGCCCAACCGCCTCTCCACCCCCCCCCCCAAAATCCTTGTTTCTACGGGAGCTGTGTTGGTTCCCTAGATGGTGCTATTTTGCTGTGTAAAGGCCCCCTCTCCTGATGAGTCTTTCTTTTCATTGTCTTTTTTACTTTGATATATTTTTAAAATATTAAGATGTCTTTTGCTCCTCTTTTTATTTATATAAGTTATTGTGAAATGAGGTGGTCTATTGTCTTGGATCTCCTAGAAAATAAAGGGGGTTAAAGAAGAATGTGTGGCTGAACTACTTTGTGTTGGGAACAAATTTGCCGAGGCTTCTCATGTGGCATGATTGGCCTGCAAGGCAATCCCGATCGGAGGAGCAAAATGTGAGTTGGCACGTGTGGGGATGCACGGATAGCCCCTTCAGAGAACGCACAAAGCCAAATGCATCTTTCCTTTTCCCAAGATCGTGTGCCAGTTACGGGGGACAGCCGTGCAAGCCCAGGAAAATGCAGCTGCTTTAAAGTGTTCCTGACAGGTGTTACGTGCATGCCCACACATGCGCCAAATCACATTTTATCCCTTGAGTCCAGATCTTCGCAGAGCCCTGCTCCACAAAGCCAGCCCGCGCTCTTTTTACTAAGTGGCCTTTAGCCCAGGCAGAGCTAAGGCAGCGTGGCGGTGGTTTCAGTTCTTGATGGCTGGGCTGCAGCATTCTTGCCTGGGCTAGAAATCAGTTCGCTTGAGCTTCTGAAGCGTAGAGATTCTCTCACGCTGCTTCCAGCAGAAAGGGTAGGCAGTGGCAGCATTCTGCACTTCAAAATCCCGTTTCGTTTGATTGCCAGCCATTCATTGTCTCTGTTCAAAAGTGAAGCTCTGCTGTTGGCAAGTAGTCACAGGTCTGCTGACTTTTCCCCCTGCTTGTTGGCAACCGTGTGGTTGGCATTGGGTAGGCCTGGTGTCTGGTTTGATGAGACAGTGTGGCATTTCTCTCTCTTCAATCAAGCCAGAGGGGGGGAAACTTCATGTAAAGCGTGAGCTTAACTTTTCCTGACACTCACTCTTCAGCACATGCTTTCAGTGACCATTGAACCCAAATCAGAAAGGAAACAGCTACGCCTTGGAGAGGGAACGAGGACTTTTCCAACAGGATGGAAACATAGGAAGCTATCTTGTATTGAGGCTTCACCACCACATTATTAGAAGACTAGCTGTGGCTCTCCTGGGTTTCTGAAGAGAGTTTTTCTTGGCAGAACTGGAGCTGCTAGGAATTGAATCCAGGATCTTTTCTATATAGGCTGTATGTTTTACTACTGAGGTATGGCATTCTCTATATAGTTCATGGGGTGGATAAGAATGGGCAACCTGCCTGTTTAAGTACTTGAGCCACTGATTTCCTGCAGACTAAGGTTAATTGCAGATATGTTGACATTTGCACGGGGTCACAGCTCAGTAATTAGCTTAAGTCTGCAGAAGGTGAGTTGCACTGGAAGGGGAATGGAAGAAATCTTGGCTTATGGTCAAGGGCTCAACATGAGTCCTACAAGAGCTTAGCCTCCAGTGAAGGCATCAAAAAGCAGCTTGGTTCAATGGCATTATTGTCGGAGTAACAGAAGGCAACTTCTGCTTCAGTGGCTCTGGCTTCCTGCAGAGCCTTGGCACCGCCTAGTGGACTGCAGTGAGAATAGCACCACTGCATTGCACAGCCCTTGCATCACCATCCAGTAACGGTTGCAAGCTGGTTGGTTTCCTTCAGAGAGCTTTTGAGCAACAGCGTGACGGCAGTGAGGTTTGAGCAGAGCAGGATTCTGAAGAGAAAACAGAGTTTTTGCAGATCTGCAGTCTACATTGTATCTGATTTTACTGCCTGGCTCACTCTTGGCAGGCTCTTGGAATACTGAAAACCTCTAAAACATTTCATTTTGCTAGTCAGCTTTTCATTAACATGCAAAGGGCAGGAACTGGAGAACTTGGAAAGAGGCTATGACGGCCAAGTTTTCATAGTGAGAACTTTCTAGACAAGCAACGGTCACCAAGCCTTACAACAAACAGTTGAAAGAACTGGGCATGTTTAGCCTTGAAAAGATGAAGGGCAAGATAAGAAAATAGGTGTTCAGCTTCTTGAAGACAGTTATCGTGCAGAAAACAGTACAGGGTTACTCCTTGCTGTGCCCAAGAGGGATTGATAAAGGAGCTGGTAAGCTCAGTTGAGTTCTAGGCACAAATACAAGTGGGTAGCAATATGGTCAGGACTTCCCTCCCTTCTTGTAATAAGGGAAGGATGGATTTCAGCTACCTTAGGAGGTTTTAAAGGCTTGCCAACACGTCAAGGCAGTCCATTCACACGGAATTGGGACTGAGGTAGGTATTGCCAAGGATACCCAGAATCCATTTCTTGCTTCCCTACAGCACCACTGTTTGGTGTGAAAGGCAGGAATCCATGAAACTGAATCTTATCCACAAAAGGGTCACGAGCTGCAAACAGCCTTTCTGGATGCTTGTCCCTGACGCCCATAAGTATTAACTTTGCTCTGTTTAATATTATGGAATTATTAGCTCCTTTTTTGGCCTTTATGAGGCAGACAGAATTAAACATTTAAGCATGTCTGCTTCTAAAACCAGTGCTTTCCCAGTGCAGAAAAAAAAAAGGTTTGTAAGGTCCCATTCCAGCATGCTTCACTGTTCTGCAATTCTTCATTTCTTGTTCTGCAATTACTCACCCGGGAGTAAGACATGCAATATCAGACTTGGTCATAGTGCCTAGCTATCTCACAGGTTTCCAGAATGTTTTATATCTATTGCTGAGATGTAGCTACCTGCCAGCCCTTCAAGGTAGACTAGACTAGGAAACAAAAGTCACATAGGCCAACACAGCTTTTATTGTGAAACTATAGTAAAAGAATCTTGCTAATCTGAATGTGCTTCCCCTTCCCTCCCTCCCTGCGAGAACTAGGGAGGGGCTTGGCTAAGATGTTTACTCACATTTCTGCCCTGGACTTGGTCCTCTTTTATCTGACTGTTGTCTTGGTAGCAGCTCTTCCTCCTGTCCCTCAAGGCCATTACCTTTTCCCTCTACACTGCCCCTTAGAAGAGGTACAATTATATTCAGAGGCCTTGACAGAGTTAGGACAATTAGTTGGATCCAAGTTTAGTTACTCATTGAAATCAGTGAGACAATTTGTCATTTTAATAATCAGAAGGTTCGCACCAGTTGCCTAACAATAACCCTTCAGGTACCAGGGAGAAAATCCCAGGGTATTTCATAAAGGGCATAGAAATTGCCAAGAAGCAGAGCAAAGCCTTCACTGGAATCTTAGCTTTTGGCTGTCATTGTTAATGCTATGCTGAAAATGCCAATCTCTGCTACAGGTATTTTGCAAGAGTCCATAAAAGGGTGTCCACATTGCTTTTTTGTTTATATGGATTTCATGGCAGCTGCTTTCCTAAAATCCCTGTCTCCAAACCTGTGCCTCCCCTGCCTGAACTGGCAATGACATTGTTATATTCAGGAAGAGGTTGCAGGTCCCCGAAGTAAACAATAAATAAAGAGGCAACCTCCCGAGGGCCCACTTGCCCTGGATCACAGACTTTCTCCAACAGCAGGTAGCCAAGAGGCAATGCTGAAGCCAAAATGCCTGGCTAACTTCCTTGGGGAGTCAGTTTCATGCTGTTGAGCACAAAAACTACACCCAAGCTCAGTGTGGACTGCAACCTAGAAAAAGCTGAAGTGTTTTCCTGGGGACAGGAAATTCCCTACCATAATCTGCAAACCACGTGACTGCAACAGTCTCGGCAAAAGTAAAACACATACAGGGTAAAGTTTGAGGATTTTTATTTTAATCTTTTTCCCATACAAAGCAAGACAATGTAAATTTTATTTGAATCAAAACACCTTTTTTTGTTTGTTTAAAAACCTTGTCTCTTCACAGTAGGCGGCTAAAGGATGCAGCCAGGGCTGGGCATCCAAAGAGCGACAGAGTTTAGCCTTTACTCTATTAAACCCTGTTAGACAAGGTCTCTATGAAGTAGATTCTTGCAGTTTTAGTTCTTGGCACTATTCCGGGGGAGGGGGAGGGAGGGAGAGACGAAGAACAGAGGAAGTAAAAATCCTTGTTTTCTCAAGCAAGCAGAACTGGAGCCTGGCTTCAGATGCCAAGAAGAGGAGAAGCATCATTAGCTGCAAGGAAAGCTTAATGGGCATGTAGAGGGAGACATTTTTAATACCAAGTGCACAGATCCCACTTTCTTCAGGATGCAGGAACACCAACTCGCATTATACAACATCCAGCCAATTCCCCCCAACCCACCCACTGTAGGATTCGTTCCCAGATGGCAAAAGGGACGAGGCAGCCACATGTCACCTTGACATCTTGCTGACCAAGGCTGTTCAGTCCCATTAATAGTTCGGGACTGGGCTGCTCCTCCTCAGCAAACCCAAATATTAGGAATTAAGTCTCAGGAATGCAATTAGACCAGACCAGACCTTACCACACTGACATCTACCCAGAAACAAACAACACACAAACAAAAAGCTCGTCAGCAGTTGCTAAAAACTGAGATGAGTGCCAGACAAGAATTTCTCACTTGCACATGCTAGTTTTTGCTAACCAGCGGCAAAATGAGGGCGGAGGAGCTGGCGTGATGGGTCAGACCACAATAGGCCTCCACATGAGTTTTTCACTCTGGAACTAGAGTTTGCTTTGTACCTCTCTTCCCCCCCAATCCCCTCCACCCATCTGAGAGGAAGTAGCTTGAGCAACATCCATCTCTTTAAAAGCCCCGCAGACAAGTCTGGCTTGTTATCAGGCAAATGTTTCAACAGCAATTCCAGAGCATCACCAACACCAGCAAGTTCTCCCCCACTCTGCTCTCACTGCAACTGGAATGAGATTGGAGGTGGACAGAAAAGCGGAAGGGACTTAACCTACCCCAGTGAAAACCGCCAGGTCATTAACAATAATACAGATATGAACATAGCCCCTGATGGTCAGAAGAGGGAAGTGGGTTATGTGTTTATGTTGAAGTGGGGCAAAGCCAGACTCCAGCATTAGGATCAGCCAGTTAGCTTTTTCAAGAGGCTCAAAAACCAAGAAAAAAAATCCAATTTCCACAAAGTATGAAAATGTCACAGATGCTTCTCATTCACACGGAAGAACAGGGGGCACCTTTAATGCAGATCAAGTTGGGTGGAAGCAAGAAAGAGGCAAAAGGGGGAAAGAAACAGGAGTCTCCACACAGGCATCTGGTTTTACTTCATTTTTCTTTCTTCTTCTTGTTCTGAAATGGAAAGAAATCATTGTCAGTGCTCTGAGCTGGCGACCTGGATCAAGATCCCATGCCAGGTAGGAGACAGTTGGTTTTCTAGGTTAGAATGCCATTGTGACAATATAGACCCAATTCTGGAAGCCTCTGTTAGAGACACTCAGTGATCACTTGGATTAAAGATGTGAAGAACCAATGCTGTCTTAATCACTGAATAGGAGAACATCTTGCAATGACTGGTATTTGCTCATCCATATCATGGCTAGACTTAGAAGATCCCACCCACTCTCCCTTATTTCTGGCACAATTTTTTCAGTGTGCAATTCTGAAAATAGTGTGAAAGTACAACCTGCAAATAGTTCTTGCTTGTTTAATGAGCAAGCAATGAAGCCTGAAGCTAGGATTGTGCAAGGCTGTGGATTCAGTTGGGAAGAGGGGCTCTGGAACATGCAGGAGGGCAAAAGTAGCACCTGTTTTCAGAATGACCTGGCTGCCGTGTGGAGGTTAATTTCACATTCAATAATGTACCACCTCCATCAGTTTTCCCTTTTATTACCTTCCATGAAAGAAACATTCCTATTTTCTTCCTCAGTCCCTCCTCCCTCTTCATTCACTTGTCTTAATAAACCTTCATCCCTTTACTCTGTTTTTCACCTCCTGCATGGCCCATTATGTGTATAACAAACTCTTCCTTTAACTCATCTTAGATGACTTATCCTTCAATATACTATTCGGCTCTCTTTCTTTTTTTCTGCACAATTTAATATCCTTTCCTTTTTTAAAATTCTCCCCCTGCTTTTGTAAAGCTACCCCTTTCCCTTTGGGCTTATGTTTGATACATAAGGGCAGGGGGCAGCAGCTAAGCACACTTAGTATATAGGTCCTATTAATGTGCAATAAAAAAGATTATGTGCTGAAAAGACATGAGAGGATTCTAGGCAGGAGGTTTCTTTAGAACAGTCAACCAAAGAAGCCACCTGCTTTTGGCAAGTACCGTAGAAGAAGAAAGCTTCTCCCCAAAAGCATCTTCCTGAATACGGACCTGAACTTTGTAATTATTGCATCTTGTTTGTCTCTGTGGGAGAGGGTGTGCTTGGCCGCCAAATGGATGTGCATTAGAGACAGTCCCTGTGAGTGCAGACCTACCTCATTCATGCCCAAGATGACCATGAGCTCCCGGAAGATGTTAACAAAATCCAGGAAAAGATCCACACAGTGCCTGGAACAAAGAGAAAGGTGTTACACATCAAGTTACAGCCTAAAATTATGAACGGGAGGCTTTGCCAGAGCCTGTACTCTGCCCTAGTGCTTTTACTCATCAACAACTATTTATGCACCTTTTCTACTGCCAGACTTCATTTGGGATCTTACTTCCATATTTAATTCTGGTTCTTTCCACAACAAAGCTTCTAACCTCCCCACTTTCCTCTAAGCAAAGCTTTTTTTTTTTTTTTGAACCCAATACTGGAGAAGCTCCTCCATGTCTCCTGTCTGCTCTCCTCACTTGCAAATCCTGATCGTGTGTGGCAGCTCCCTGACACGGCCCTGGGCTCATCACCCTCACACTCACCAGATGTAGTCCTTGTCTCCATTCTCAGCCTTCTCAATGATGAGCTGAGTGTCAAACAGCACAAAGCCACACATAACCATAAGTCCAATGTAGAGATTAGCCTGGAGGAGGAGGAGGAACGCCAATTAGCCAAAGTAACTCCAGTAGCGTAACCTGGCCCTGTTACCTACTGAGAGCCTGAAGTGATTGTGTGTTAGCTCCCAGCTTCAATATATTCAGATCTGGATCTCTTGATGGAGTAGAGCAGAATATGGCATCAGGCAAAGAATTCATTATCCCAAGAATGTCAGCATTCGTTTCATTTTTGTCTTCTGTCAGTAACTTTCTAGTTCTTAGGATTGCAATTGTATGCCTAAACACTGCATCCAATACCTGACAAAACCTCAGAATACCTAAAACTCACAGAAGGTGCTTTCCAGTGCCAGAGGTGTCTGTATAATAAGGTGTCTGTATACTCGTCTGTACCCATAATTACAGAATATAACCCAACATATAACACAGGGCAAATCTATATACATCCCCAAATCTGTTATCCTAATGCAACACATCTTGCTCTTCTAATAACAGTGCTAAAGGAAAGGGGAAGCTGGGCACATCTGGACAGCTGCCCACAGTAGGCTTGCCAGTTCTGTGTCCAAAAGGGCAGGTTTGCTGCAGGGGCTTGTGCTGCTATCAACTTTCAAGCTGACAGACCCTGAAAGCAGCAGCCACTCACTGTGAAGAGCCAAGTTGACCCCAGGAAAATGTTGACCAGGGAGAACAGCAGCATCAAGAAGAGGCCGGAGAACAGGACGCCTGAAAAAGAAAAAAAGCAGAATCATGATGAAAGAAAAGGCCAATCAGAATGGAACCCAGCCTCTTCAAATATAGCAGGCAATGGTGGCTTACCCCCGAGATACAAGTAGGCACGACGCTTAGCAAAGAGAGCACTCAGGGAGAAGCAGCTGAAGATCACTGCTGTGCCCAGGAAAGCAGTTGGGATGATGCTGTAGGGAGGGAAGAGACAAGAATGAAGGCCTAAGAAGGAGATGGATGGGAGGGCTCAGGAATACGAAATAACAGAACATGCTCTAGAAAACTTCTAGGGTTTGGCTTTGGGGTCCCTGAAGGGGTATGGATGCTTCACTGTGAAATGCTTCAGTAAGAATCCCAAGTGTGCCCCCCTGCCCGCCATTACTACTGAGCAGAATGCTTGGTTCCACTTTCAAGGTGAAAAGTGGCAAAGAACAGAGCAGCTGGTGAGCTTCCTCTTACCTGGGATTGATGGCAATGCACATCTCCAGCAGAGGACCCAGGTTGACTCCTGGAAGAGGAAGGAATATAGCCTGAGACAGGTTTCTCACTCACGTGTATGTACACACAGTAAGTCTTTTTTCTATTCGTTACATGCACATATTTAAAAGAAACAAGCTGTGAATTACACAGATGTTCCCTTCATAAAAGACATAAGGGGTGCAAAATGCCATGCAAAAATATTCAGAAAGTGACAAAGGCCCTGTCATCTTCAGATACATTCACAAGGGAGGGACCCCTCATTTTACAGCATTCAGTGCTGCCTTCTTCCTGTTGGCGGGAAGATTTTTTGGATTCCTTTTCAGACACAGCAAGAGCCGTTCCCCTGTGGGGAAGCTGAGGCAAACTCGGCCCAGCTCTTCCCCCTTCAGCCATTGCCATTCTGCCAGGTCCTCTGATGACACCGTTTCATCACTTACACAGCACGGCTGCCGTTACCCCAGCAAGGGAAAGCAGCTACGAATGTCTTTCTCACTCGTGGAAGTCCCACAACTGCACATATGGAGTATTAACTGCTACTCCCCTCAGTTCTCACTTCTCCAGCAGCACATACCAGTGAGGAAAGCAAAGCCTGCCAGCATAGCCAGCCGCTTCTCTTCAGTTTCTCGGCTGTGGGGTGTGGCCATCAGCCAAATCATAAGGCCTAATGCTCCCAGGCCAGTCAGCAATCCAAACTGCAAAACAAAGTGGGAAAGATGGAGATTAACACAGGCTGGTCGGAGGAAAGAGCCAGTTCAATATAAGCCCATTTGCTGTATCTTCCACTCTTTTAAAGAAAATTCAGGTCACTAGAACTTTCTTCCCACACAGATTTTGAGGGGAAATATGGAACCAGTATTCTGCATAGCTGGTCTCTTGGAAGGGAAATTCTGTCACTGTTCAGACAATTTTTAGTTAAGTTTAATCATGAATACTTTCAATCTTAAATATTTTAAACACACAGCTAGATTTTCATCATCGTTTTCCATTACTCTATGACAATTGTATAAGCACCCTGTTGAAATCTGTAACAATTCTGCTCTGCAAGTAGGATATGAGGCCCAAAGATATTCCAAATCTGAGATGGAATCCGGAACACAGTTCTCAGGTTTTAAACCCTATTAACTGCTATAGGGCTTACTTTTAAATAAACACCAACAGGCGATTCTGGCAGTGGAGAAATTTTCAATCCGGCAGAACTCTGAGCAGCATATTTTGAGTCCCGCCCCTTACTCTGAGTTTCACAATAGAAACAAAAAGCTCTTTCAAACAAAAACAAAAATTTCTGAGTTTTTCTGAGAACATTTATATATTTAGAGGTTTTTGTTAGGATATTGTTTGTGGAAAGTTTTAAAAGCTTAAAGTTTCACTGACTATTCCACCTAGCCATGGAGCACCAGCTGAGAACCACTCAATAGAATACAGTCCTGCTTATTTCCGCAAGCTGGGCTGAACTGTGTTGCAGCCTTCCTGCTGGCACTTAGCCTTCAATAACCAAGATGACCTTCAGTTTATGTATCAGCCCCAGAGAAATGCCTTCGTATTCTTACCTGCACCAGCCGAGTTACCACATTGAGATAAGCCCCACCTGCCGCTAGAAACATACATAATGCAAAGCTGGCGTAGACCTTCTTCAGGTGCTGCTGGGTTGATGCAGAGCTGTAGGGATGAAGGAAGAAAATTACTGTTCTGTTACACAAGACTTCGAAGAACAGCAATTCCCAAAATTGGCCACTTGCCAGCTCCTAGCCATATCACAAACTACAGAGTCAACACTATCTAATCTGCTTTGGACCACTTTAGAGAAAGCTAATGTTTTCTAGACACCACCACCAAGAATTCCCTGCTTCAGAATCTCTAGTGCTGAAATATGCTTCTAGAGAAGACCAAGTATATGAAGGTTTTAGGATGGTTAGAAAAACCTGAAGGTTCTGGTCATAGAGAAATACAATGTACAAGGATATGCAGTTCTTTTTTTCTGACTTGCATTCTGGCAACAGAATATGGCACAAGATAGCACTTAAATCAAGAGCCATTTTGAACAGCTCTGTCCGCTTTAGGAAAGCAAAGTGACTCGGACAAAATCTAAATGTCCCTAATCCAAATGTTTTTCCAGCCCTAGGTTTAAACAAAACTCCCCATGGACTTCCATAATCTGGTAACACTATGCACTAAATACAATGCCTTGAGAACATCACCTTACATTATTTAAACATTTAACAACATTTACGTGAACTACCCCTGCCTACAATTGTCAGCCCTGAAGTCTATGGCATGGGTCCTCAACCTTTGGGGGTTGGTGGCCACACTGGGAATTCTGAGAACACAGAAAGGGCATTCTCACAAAAAGCTACCATAAAGGACAAACTCAGTCAACAACTATTTATCAGAACTAGTTAGATCACTTCCCACCAAATCCAAGTAACTTCTTCCATGTTCTTTATTATTGTAGTTTACTTGTCTTTTTTCCTGCATATCTAAGCAGTGGTTTGCAAACACCCACCATTTTTAGTTTCTAAGAATATTACAGGGCTCTATGGGAAACCCAGTGGCATTATTGAAAAGAAATGAGAGAAGCTAATATTTCACTCTGCAACATGCAACCTTCAAGTGGGGTATGAAACCTGGGGGTTGCCAAGAAAAGCAACGGGTGCACTGATGACTTGTGTGTTACATTTGTTACCCAGGGTCTACAGAAAGCTGGACAATATCCACAGAAGTTTTAAAAGGTGGGATAAGTTGGACAAATCAGCAAAGCACAATTTTGAGATGCCAGATTCTTCAGTTCTGTGACTAACAGTGTCCCTCACACTAGAGTTGTAACTGACTAAAACAGGTTCATAAACAGTTTCATTTTATTAACAGATACATGAAAATACTAGGTTTTCCCCCCAGGTTCAACTTATTACCAGAGTAGAGGATTTTCATCCAATCTTCTCACAAGAAAGCATAAAATCCGAGGTGTTCTGGCTCCAGCAATCCAGGTCCCTCCAGCTTTGTCACCATCTTCCATGGGCGATGGAGCCTACCTAACCTCACATCCCTGTTCCTAAGCATCCAAGAAAGAAACTGAGTCCTCTCACAACAAGATTAAGCAGGCAACAGGTACTTACATGTGGGAGAACTTGAAGAGGGCATCAAAATTTATGTTCCTGTTGAAAACATCCATAGCACTTATTGGTGAGGTGCAATTCTCAATGTCAAAACACAATCTGCAGAAAGGGAAAGGAAGGCCAAGTCAAAGGGGGAAGACCCGGACAGATTTTTTCCAAGGACATGGATGTATGTTCCATGACGCTTGTACAGTACATGTTCCATGATGCTTGTATAGTACATCTCTACCCTTCTTAGAGCCAAACCAAGCTCCTTCCACCTGTTTGTCCAATTCACATTAAGCAGTGCCCTCAGTCCATATATCAGTTCTGGAATGACAAGAACCCCCTCCCCCATATACATCATTTGAAGCACTGCAATCATTATGGCACTTCTGCAGAATTCCTAGTCTCTTTTCTCTGGGTAAAAGGAACTTCAAATAATCAATTTAATAATTCTGATCTTTGCATGCATTAATCAGCAGGGAATAAAGCACAGCAACATCTCTGACTAACTCTGACACTGAGACCATTTTGTTAGAGGAGAACAAGGAAGTCAAAGCAACAGCTTAAAGGCCTAGCAAAAAGATTTTCCAGCTCCAAGCAAATATATAGTTGCTTCATTTGCCTTCTCCTACAGAAAATACATCTCTACACAGAATAATTTATATCCTTCTCTCCATGTAGCCTCCTGTTTTCACCAATTCAATTTCCAGCTACGGCATAAGATATACAATCCAGCAATACAGACAATGTTATCCAAAAGGTAAGTGAGAGAATTCCTGATGCGCCACTGCTAGAAAGTGATGCTTTCTACTTGAGACTCACCAGCTTGTCCAGTATGCAACCTACAAGCTTCTTCCCTTTTGTCCTACTCTGAAAAATCTAGAGGCTGCAACTGTTTCACAGGCACCCAAATTGGCTTGGTGTATATGGTGCAATTATTGCAAGCTCTTGCAAGGCTAGCTAAAGCCTCCTAGAGGAATTAGGCTCGCAGGGGAGCCTTGCTTCACAACTTAGCAGCTGGAAAGCAAGAACATTAGCATCCTTAATGATCTTCCCAGGAAAGGATGGGGTGGAGTTAGAAAAAGGCAGCCCTCCCAGCTTGTGAGCCAAGGCCAATGTGTTGTGCTGCTATTCTCTAGGTGGGATTCCACCCCACTGCTGTGTTTTGTAACAACATGCACAGGTATGTTATCTACTCAGGGGAGCAGCATGAGCATTTTACTCATCGATACAAGCACTTCTACCATCCTTCGCCCAGAGGTTATTCTTAACTAGTTGCTCTAATGGCTGGTGTGGGTCTTCCGGACTGTGTGGCCGTGTTCTGGAAGTTTTGTTTCCTAATGTTTC